TTTTGCATGAAAATTGTTAATAAAAGTAATAATTTTTTTTATCATTGAGTCTATAATTTTTCCCAATTATAAATATAAAAAAAAAGCTAGAAAATGAAAACCCACCTAAAAGGTGGGAAATTAATTTCAACAAAATCAAGGAAAATGTGCATGTGAGAGAAATTGAGAAAATTTTCCATGAGAAATTTCTACTATCAAACAAGGTAAAAGCTAGAAAATGGAAAAAAAAAATTCTAGTTCCAGGGAAAATTAAGGGTATCAAACAGGCCCTAAGGGAAGAAATTATAAATCAAACACTTCCACCATTCAAATCAGTGGTCATATTGAAACTAGAACTAGTATGTCACATATCACGTAGAAAATCAAATTTATGTGCAGGAGTAGACTCACATGTCAAGTATGATATAGAACTATACATGATAAATGAACTATCATATCAAACGACATAAGTTGTTAAATGGACGTAAACATTTCTAGAAAATGTAGATACTACACGTGTATAGTATGAGAAAAGATCCATGTCAAATTAGACTATCGTTATTGCCTATTTGAAAAATACAAGCAACATTACCGTCTTGTTTGTTTCTGATTAAAATCAGATTTTAATCTAAATCAAAGTCAGACAATCAATATTAACCACATTTTTTATGGGTCTCACAGCTTTTCAACCACACATTTCAAAAACTTCTATCACAATCTACTAAAAATCTAATTTTAATCTCCACCAAACACCCACTACGTTAAAAACCCTCACATTAAAAAAATTCATAGTATTTAAATCACCATGTATTACATGGGCTGCAATAGAATTCACGCGTCTTGTTCACGACAGATGTCACATTCCATAAAATTGTACTAATAATTGCAATAATTTATGAAATGCAAAGTAGTTTAACTCTTCATTGCCTCGTAAGGGCGTTGAGAATTATTTTTTGCTTTTCTTGCTAGAAACAAACAAGTTCTTTTGAACATTATGTAACATATTAACATTCACAAGAAGTTAAACAAAAAAGAAATGCATTTGTCTGTGGTTCATAGGTCTGGACTTGCTTTTACTTCTTCTAAATCAAAGTTCAGGGCCACGACCATGCACCATCTTGAATGGAACTTTTCATAGTTAGGGTATTAAGGAGGAAAGACAATTACTAGAATTTTCGAGCCTACTTATTTCAATTGCATGAATAAATCCGTCAACCAAGTTTTGCTGCCGGCCTAATGGCAACAGGCGCCCCCAGGTGTCCATAATTGACACTCCTATAGGTGCACTTGTGTATCCATAGCACAACTCATTTCTTATTTTCTCAATATTTGTACTAATAACAATTTGGTTCTTTAAGCGTGTAGATGAACTAGGACGACTAACCAGAAAATGGGGGCATTTGTCAAATTGTCCTTGTTGACCAAGCATTTTAAGCCTTTTATAAAATTGTCT